TATTGCAAGGAGCAGACACTCTGCAGGGACTGTCTGTGACCACACAGGTTATTTATGTAGTTTGGTCTGTCTGCCATTTTGGAATGTAGATATGGAAACCTATATGTGATAAATATACATTTCTGTAAACTGTAAAGCCAGTGAGAATAATGGCAGTCCAGAGTTTTTGCTGTAACATTAAACTGGAAGAACCCTTTTTGTAACTTATTAATAACAGCAATGAAACACATTTTTGAATTCCTGGAGATCCAAGCACTTTATAGTTAGTATTGATCTCAAATTATTAATGTTTACCTATACCCAGAACCGTTTTTGAACTCTCAGTTAGAATAGGAAAAAGATAAAACCCGTCAGGGTTGATTGCTCTCTGTTGGTGAGATTTCTCTTCACTTTCTGTTCTTGGACCAACATTTTACCAGACAAGAAGCAAGGGGAGATGTGCAACAGGACAACAGTAAAAAGCTGACAGAGATGTTAGCCTTCCCCTGTTTAACTTAAAATACTGTAAGCATATTTAATACTGTCTTTGTTGCTCACTACCTTTGGTACCCTCACTTCCTGTTCTGGGGACAACCCTTTTACCAAACAGGAAGTGAAGGAATCTCTCTAACACAACTTCCATTGCCAATAAAAGCTAAACACCCATTCCATCCATAACAAAAAGGTATAACTATATATACAACCTAATAGTACTAGGTGGTAATGAAAACAGAGCCACCTTCCATTACATACCTAGAGTTCCTAGAGTAAAAGCCATGGGTGTTAATAGATATATTTATATACAGTACAAAATACACTGCTCCAAAAAAATAAAGAAACACTTTGAAAACACATCTCAATGGGGAAAAATATCATGCTGGATATCTATACTGATATAGACTGGGTAATGTGTTAGGAACGTAAGGATGCCCCATCGCTTGATGGAAATGAAAATGATCAACCTACAGAGGACTGATTTCAAAGATACCACGAAAATCAAAGTGAAAAAACGATGCAGTAGGCTAGTCCATTTTGCTGAAATTTCATTGCAGCAACTCAAAATGGTACTCAATTTCTATGCCTCCCTCGTGCTTGTATGCATGCCTGACAATGTTGAGGCATGCTCCTAATGAGACGACGGATGGTGTCCTGGGATCCTCCCAGATCTGGACCAGGGCATCACTGAGCTCCTGAACAGTCTGAGGTGCAACCTGGCGGCGTCAGATGGACCAAAACATGATATCACAGAGGTGTTCTATTGAATTTAGGTCAGGAGAGCGTGGGGGCCATTCAATGGTATCAATTCCTTCATCCTCCAGGAAATGCATTCTCTTGCCACAAGACAGGGCATTGTCATGCACCAGGAGGAACCCAGGACCCACTGCAGCAGCGTAGGGTCTGACAATTGGTCCAAGGATTTCATCCCTATACCTAATGGCAGTCAGGGTGCCATTGTCTAGCCTGTAGAGGTCTGTGCGTCCCTCCATGGATATGCCTCCCCAGATCATCACTGATCTACCACCAAAACAGTCAAGCTGAAAAATGTTACAGGCAGCCTACCATTCTCAATGGCCTCTCCAGACCTTTTCACATCTGCCTCATGTGCTCAGGGTGAACCTGCTCTCATCCGTGAAAAGCACAGGGCTCCAGTGGCAGAATTGCCAATTCTTATGTTCAATGGCAAATGCCAATCAAGCTCTATGGTGCCAGGCAGTGAGCACAAGGCCCACTAGGTTATGTCTGGCCCTCAGGCGACCCTCATGAAGTCTGTTTCTGATTGGTCAGAGACATTCACACCAGTGGCCTGCTGGAGGTTATTTTTATAGGGCGCTGGCAGTGCTCATTCTGTTCCTCTTTGCACAAAGGAACAGATACCGGTCCTGCTGATGAGTTAAAGACCTTCTACAATCCTGTCCGGCTCTCCTAGAGTAACTGCCCATCTCCTGGAATCTCCTCCATGCTCTTGAAACTGTGCTGGGAAACACAGCAAACCTTCTGGCAATGGCACATATTAATGTACCATCCTGGAGAAGCTGGACTGGCTGTGCAATCTCTGTAGGGTCCAGGTATCGCCTCATGCTACCAGTAGTAACACTTATCCTAGCCAAATGCAGAACTAGTGAAAAACAGTCAGAAAAGATAAGTAGGGAAAAAAATGTCAGTGGCCTCCACCTGTAAATACATTCCTGTTTTGGAGGTCATCTCATTGTTGCCCATGTAGTGCACCTGTTGTTAATTTCGTTAACACCAAAGCAGCTGAAACTGATTAACAACCCCCTTTGCTATCTAACTGACCAGATCAACATCCCAGGAGTTTAATTGACTTGATGCTGTACTCTGATTAAAAAGTGTTCCTTTAATTTTTTTTAGCAGTGTATTTTCACACTTAATGTAACTAAATTAAATATTTCCACATGTTCACTGAAATGTATACCAAATCTCTAATCCATCCCTATTTTTATTTTGCTATTCTTGTTGTTCTTTATTGTTGTACCCTTTGCACACATTTGGGTGCCATGTAACTAGCTAAAAGACTTTTTATATCATGTATCGCTGTTAACCGAAATATTCTTATAACCTGAACTCAGTCATTATTGGTATACAGTTATTTCAATAAACAATTGCAAAGTGCCATTCTGATATGTAGCATGTGTTAACCCTTGGCAGCCAATAAGGTTTTAATCTAGCGTATTCAGATTGAGATGATTTCTAATTGGTTACTACAAGCTACTCATTGCTGATCTTCCAAGGTATTTTCATGTTTCATTGTGATGGTATTCTGTTGATATTATGATGATTATAGAACCACTGCAAATTGTTACCATTGATACATAAGTTAAAATAAGTCAAGGCTATACTCTTATAATAGTATTTTTACAACAACTGCATACAATTAACAAATACAACATATATTTCACCACATTCCCACCTATATGATAGTTACTTGCAAGGCCCTTGTTAAAAAATAAAGATTAAAGTTTATTGAACACGTTAGAGACACACAATACATGTATAACCATACATTTAAAAAAAATAAGTATCTAACACCCCACTTTTTGATGGTCATATACTGAACCCCAATACTCCATAATAAGAAAATGAATAGTGGACCCTGTGAGTGTTTTTTATTGAGAAAGTGTTTTGTGTATTCACACTATTGTAGGCATATTTTCCTTTATCTATATATGGTTGCTGCTATTGTTAAATGGAGATTTAACACCGGACATACCTGGGAAGAGTTGCCCTAAAGGGTTAATTTATCATTCCTGTCGTGACCACACTGTAATTGGGGGTCATGGCTTTTTAGTAAGTGTTTTTCCACTTTGGCACCTTGGATTACTTTCCACTGGGAGAGATGGCTGCGTAGAGTAATTATATGCTTGATTCAAATCCTCACAGGAATTTTAGCACTTTGTCACGTGAGTAAATGCACAGTTTGGACTTTTTATGTGTTTATTTTGTATTTTTGTTTATACTTGCGCACTTTGTTTGATGATGTTCCTAAAAAAAAAAGAAAGAAAATTGAATGCTTATCTATCAGTAGTGTTAGGAATGGACTGGCCAGCAATGGTGGGACTCACCTGCCTTTTGATCTGCAGTACCAGGGCTGGCCAGCGGGTGCTCCCAGCAATCAGAGACTCAACCTTTCAGCCAGCTAACACCTGGAACTGATGATACTGGGGTATTTAAGGGATGGCCAGACTTGCAGACTCTGCCTTGGTGTTGTGTTTGTCCTGGGCCCTGTATCTGTCCTGCATCCTGTTTCTGTTCCTTTGCTGACTTCTCCTGCTCTGATCCTGGCTTGTGACCCTGACCATCCCTCTGTCTGACCCTCTGTACTACGCTGCTTGCTACCTGTTCTGATCCCTGGCTTGTGACCCGGACCATCCCTCTGCCTGACCCTCTGTACTATGCTGCTTGCTACCTGCTGAACCTGGCTGTGACCCCGACCATTCTCCTAATTCGCTTGCTCCCCCTGTAACCTACCTGCCCAATTGATATTGACCCGGCCTGCCTGACGACGCTTGCTTGTATATACTGTTATCTGTGGGTGGTTTGGTTTGGTTTGTTTGCACCGTATTATGTTTTAGTATTGCACTGCGTTTATGTTTGTACTGTTAGTGTTAATAAATTATATTGTTTATAACATATCTGAGGTCTGCGTTTCCCTGCTTCAGTCACACACCTCTGGTCATACCTGGGAGCCCTGACATTACACCAAGGCCAATCCTGACCAGAAGTGGCTGCACAGGGAAGCCATCTTGGCTTGTTGATGGGAAGGATGGATCTTGAGGAGGTTGAGTATTTATATCTGCTAGTGTTTGATGACAGGGAGTATGCTTATCAAACTCTGAAGGAGTATACCTGGGATGAATTGCTAGAATGTATACGGCTCGCTCATGTTCTAGTAGATCAGGGCACAGTGTTCTCTGAGGTGCAGCCATTGATTGAGGTTTGTGCAGAGTTGGTTTCATCTGGTTCCCCCGAATGCAGGGATGAATTTTTGCCACCATTTAGTGCAGACCAGGTAGAGTCCCTGGTGTGGTTATTAGAGGATGATGTGGGTTACTTTCTGGAGCGTTATTCCACATGTTTCACCACAGACACTGAGAGATTGTATAAACGCAGTGCAGTCATTGACCAGACAGACTTTGTGTAAGCTCAGCTTTGTTCAACCCCTACTGCAGACATGGACAGATTTGTTGCACCCAGCCTCAGTCAGCTTACAAAGACCCAGTCCTGCTTCTAACTCTACTCCTGTATTCCCACCAGCTCCTCCAGTTACAGCCCAGTATACTTGGCTATCTACCGCATGTCAGTACCCTGTTCCCACTCGCTGCACCTATCCTGCCTTTAACCCTGTAAAAAAGCCCTCTGTAGCAACTGCTCCCTCTCCTGTTCCATCCTCCAGTTCTTCTCTGTCTCCAGCTGCTCCATTCGTTTGCAGACCTGCGTTTACTTGCAGTGCTCCAGTAGTTAAAACCAGAAAAAGCGAAAATTCTTTCCAACCAATACCATCCTGCCAGTATCCAAACCGGTGAGCCTGCCTTCCGTGGTTCAGACTGATGCCTGTACGCAGCCTGATGCCTCTACTCGGCCTGAAGCCTCTACTCGGCCTGGCCCTCTACTCGAAGCCTCTACTCGGCCTGATGCCTGTACTCGGCCTGATGCCTGTACTCGGCCTGAAGCCTCTACGCGGCCTGAAGCCTCTACGCAGCCTGAAGCCTCTACGCGGCCTGAAGCCTCTACTCGGCCTGATGCCTGTACTCGGCCTGATGCCTCTCTTCAGCCTGAAGCCTCTACTCGGCCTGATGCCTCTACTCGGCCTGATGCCTCTACTCGGCCTGAAGCCTCTACTCGGCCTAATGCCTCTACCCAGCAGCATGATGAACTGATCCAGCCTGACGATCCTATTAGGCCAGTTGACTCGATGCCCACTGTTGATCCAGATGATCCGGTACCTGATCCGGTGCCCGCTGTCGTGCCAATTGACTCAGAGCCCGCTGTCGTACCTGGTGACTCGGTGCCCACTGCCTTGCCAGATGACGCGGTGCCCGCTGGCAAGCCAAATGACCTGATGCCTGGTGACCTAGTGTCCGCTGTCATACCTGATGACCCGATGCCCGCTGTCGAGCCAGACAATCCGGTACCTGATGACCCGGTGCCCACTGTCGTGCCTGTTGACTCGGAGACCACTGCCTTGCCAGATGACGCGGTGCCCGCTGTCGAGCCAAATGACCTGATGCCTGGTGACCCGATGCCCGCTGTCCAGTCAGACGATCCAATGTCTGACCCAGTGCCCGCGGTCATACCAGTTGACTCGGAGCCCACTGCCTTGCCAGATGACGCGGTGCCCGCGGTCGAGCCAAATGACCTGATGCCTGGTGACCCGATGCCCGCTGTCCCAGCCAGACGATCCAATGTCTGACCCAGTGCCCACGGTCATACAGTTGACTCGGAGCCCCACTGCCTTGCCAGATGACGCGGTGCCCGCTGTCGAGCCAAATGACCTGATGCCTGGTGACCCGATGCCCGCTGTCCAGCCAGACCATCCAATGTCTGACCCAGTGCCTGCGGTCATACCAGTTGACTCGGAGCCCACTGTCGTGCCTGGTGTCTCGGTGCCCGCCGCTCCGCCTGGGGGCCCGAGACCTGTTGCTCCGCTTGGGGGTCCAGCGCCCGCCGCTCCGCCTGGGGATCCGGCGCCCCGCCGCCCCGCCTGGGGGCCTGAGACCTGTCGTCGCTCGCCTGAGGAGGCCCGAGACCTGTCGCTCCGCCTGGGGGGTTCCGGCACCTGCCACTCCGCTTTAGGGCCCGAGACCTGTCGCTCCTCCTGGGGGTCCGGCGCCCGCCGCTCCGCCTGAGGGCCCGAGACCTGTCGCTCCACCTGGGGGTCTGGCGCCCGCCGCTCCGCCTGAGGGCCCGAGACCTGTCGCTCCATCTGGGGGTCCGGCGCCCGCCCGCTCCGCCTGAGGGCCCGAGACCTGTCGCTCCTCCTGGGGGTCCGGCGCCCGCCGCTCCGCCTGAGGGCCCGAGACCTGTCGCTCCTCCTGGGGGTCCGGCGCCCGCCGCTCCGCCTGAGGGCCCGAGACCTCGAGACCTGTCGCTCCGCCTGGGGGTCCGGCGCCCGCCGCTCCGCCTGAGGGCCCGAGACCTGTCGCTCCATCTGGGGGTCCGGCGCCCCGCCGCTCCGCCTGAGGGCCCGAGACCTGTCGCTCCTCCTGGGGGTCCGGCGCCCGCCGCTCCGCCTGAGGGCCCGAGACCTGTCGCTCCGCCTGGGGGTCCGGCGCCTGTCGCTCCGCCTGAGGGCCCCGAGACCTGTCGCTCCACCTGGGGGTCCGGCGCCCGCCGCTCCGCCTGAGGGCCCGAGACCTGTCGCTCCTCCTGGGGTCCGGCGCCCGCGCGCTCCGCCTGAGGGCCCGAGACCTGTCGCTCCTCCTGGGGGTCCGGCGCCCGCCGCTCCGCCTGAGGGCCCGAGACCTGTCGCTCCATCTGGAGGTCCGGCGCCCGCCGCTCCGCCTGGGGGCACGATGCCTGTCGCCCCGCCCGGGGGCCCGGAGCCTGTCGCCCCGCCCGGGGGCCCGGAGCCTGTCGCCCCGCCGGGGGCCCCGAGCCTGCCGCCCCGCCCGGGGGCCCGGAGCCTGCCGCTCCGCCCCGGAGGGGGCCCGGTGCCTGCCGCTCCGCCCGGGGGCCCGGTGCCTGCCGCTCCGCCCGGGGGGTGCCCGCTCCGCCCGGGGCCCGCCGCTCCGCCCGGGGGCCCGGTGCCTGTAGCCCGCCCGGGGGCCCGGTGCCTGCTGCTCCGCCTGGTGGCCCGCTGTGCCTCTGCCCGGAGTCCTGCCCGATGTGCCTCTGCCCGGAGTCCTGCCCGATGTGCCTCTGCCCGGAGTCCTGCCCGATGTGCCTCTGCCCGGAGTCCTGCCCGATGTGCCTCTGCCCGGAGTCCTGCCCGATGTGCCTCTGCCCGGAGTCCTGCCCGATGTGCCTCTGCCCGATGTGCCTCTGCCCGGTGTGCCTCTGCCCGATGTGCCTCTGCCCGGTGTGCCTCTGCTCGATGTGCCGCTGCCCGGAGTCCAGCCCGGTGTGCCGCTGCCCGGAGTCCTGCCCGGTGTGCCAGTCTTTGATATCCCGCCAGTTGCCAGACCCGGCGGGTGGAACATTTTGCCCAGCTAGGACTGTTTGGAGCGTCCTGAGGCCGCTCCTTGAGGGGGGGGGGTACTGTTAGGAATGGACTGGCCAGCAATGGTGGGACTCACCTGCCTTTTGATCTGCAGTACCAGGGCTGGCCAGCGGGTGCTCCCAGCAATCAGAGACTCAACCTTTCAGCCAGCTAACACCTGGAACTGATGATACTGGGGTATTTAAGGGATGGCCAGACTTGCAGACTCTGCCTTGGTGTTGTGTTTGTCCTGGGCCCTGTATCTGTCCTGCATCCTGTTTCTGTTCCTTTGCTGACTTCTCCTGCTCTGATCCTGGCTTGTGACCCTGACCATCCCTCTGTCTGACCCTCTGTACTACGCTGCTTGCTACCTGTTCTGATCCCTGGCTTGTGACCCGGACCATCCTCTGCCTGACCCTCTGTACTATGCTGCTTGCTACCTGCTGAACCTGGCCTGTGACCCCGACCATTCTCCGCTTGCTCCCCCTGTACCTACCTGCCCAATTGATATTGACCCGGCCTGCCTGACGACGCTTGCTTGTATATACTGTTATCTGTGGGTGGTTTGGTTTGGTTTGTTTGCACCGTATTATGTTTTAGTATTGCACTGCGTTTATGTTTGTACTGTTAGTGTTAATAAATTATATTGTTTATAAACATATCTGAGGTCTGCGTTTCCCTGCTTCAGTCACACACCTCTGGTCATACCTGGGAGCCCTGACAAGTAGTTTTCTTTGGCTGATGTTTTAGCTGAAAAGGTTTTAAAAAATATAAAGATGAACTAACACTGGGCACCTTTCCCACCCCCTGGTCCCTGCTGTACTTACCTCCAGGTTTGCTGAGCTGTCAGCACCCTCACAGCTGGTCCAGGAATTTAAAATTCGTGCTCTTCTCCATGCAGTGCTTCTGGGACGGACCAGATCAATTCACTGTGGTGGTGCTGTCCATCGGTCTGGTGCATCCCAGAAGCACTGCACGGAGAAGAGGGAGAAGAGTGGGGATTTCAAATCCCTAACATCAGACTGGCTGAAAGGGTGCTGACAGCTCAGCAACCCCAGAGGTAAGTACAGCAGAGAACAGGGGGTTGGTTAGGATGTTCTGTGTAAATTCACCATATTTTTTATGGAAAGGCGAACTAACACTTTGGGGGAGATTTACTAAAACTGGAGCACTCAGAATCTAGTGCAACTGTGCATGGTAGCCAATCAACTTTTAACTTCAGCTTGTTAAATTAAGCTTTGACAATAACACCTGGAAGCTGATTGGTTTCTTTGAAGAGCTGCACCAGATTTGCATGTTCCAATTTTAGTAAATCAACCCCTTTAAATATGACAGCATACACACATGGATATAACTTTCTTCCCTACCCAACCACAGGATTTTTTTATATTATAAATGAAACACCCTCCCCAAGATAATATTTTCAAAACAATACTTAATGAAAAGCCCTGGGAGGATTTGTATTCTGTCAAGTGTGAGGGAAGGAAAGGTACATACTAAGATCATCCAGCAATATCTCTAAATCATGAGGATTAGGAGTGTTAATGCTGTAGTGTATAATTGGGGAGGGGGGGGGGAGGGGAGTGGGCCTGGGGATGGAACTAGGGATAAACACCAAAGGGTTTCAGAAAGGTAAAAAACCAAAGCAAATAATAAGTGTTTAACGATTAAAAGGTTCAACTTATTGGCCTACCACTCCTAAAAGACGGGTGGAATGCCTGGTCTGGCTACAAAATACTGAAGAAAATCTGGTATATTCAGAAAGCCAAAAGCTCTCTATAGTGATAATAATAATATAAAACCAGGTGGCATTTTGGTCAAGCACTTCATATAGGGAGAAATTGAAAAAGAGAGAAAGCATGAGAAAGAGGGGAGAAAAAGTAGGGAGAAAAAAGAAAATAAGATAGCAAAGAACGCTCCTTTTCGATCCACCCCCACCTAGCTCTCCTCGTGTCCCCGCCTATATCGGTGACTACAGGTATCTAATCTAAGGGTTCCAAACCCTCTCAAATTTATTTTATTTGTTCTTTTAAATGCTGGTCAATAGTCAATATCTCGGACTATAGATATTTTAGCAGCCAAAAGGATATAGAAAATCTGGGTACGTAGATGTTTGGGTGTCTTGTCCGAGAGATAATTGAAGAGTGCTGTCTTAACATTATATGGTATATTGACTCCTGTCAGTGAGTAAACAAGATTGAATAGTCAAATCCAAAAATATTGGACTCATGGGCAACACACACTCTCAGCCGCATCCCCTGTAACAGAGAGGTGAGGCATCCGGATAAATGTTTGCAATTCTAGAAGGGACTAGGTACCAACTGGAGAGAACTGTATAATTAGCCTTAACCAAGAAGAGTATTCATAATCTCCCTGTGCACCGTGTCCAATCATTGGATCATTGGGGCCCACTCCTCCTCCCCTGTCTCCTCTCCCAGTTCTATTCCCCACACTCTGTAATACAGAAGCTTCCCATAGGAGTAGAGAGGTGGGAATATAGCTCCGAAATGCCACCCTTCCTTCCCGGACATCTAGTCTCAAAAGAAGTTCTAATCGAGATATAGTCCCATTTTGCATTTAAGGGAATGTAACAAGTGGGCTATTTGATGATAACAAAACATTTCTCAGCTGGGCATTGTCACGATCGCAAGATCGCTGCTCCCAACATGTGACAATCCCACGATCGCGACATCCAATATGTGACGAACGTGGCGTCAGACCCCAGCCCTTCTCACCAAACTCGTGACCGAAGGACTAGCCAATCTAAAACTGCGATGTCACGTGCGTAACAATGCCACACCCAGCTGCACCCTGCACAACAATTTTCCAGCTAATGGACCACAGATCGATGTACCGGCAGCCTGAGCGATTGTTTCTGGGTCAGGTTAATTGCGCAATTAACCCTTCACACTGCCACCACCTCCTTTTTGTCAGAGAAAGAGGAAACTCGGCGATCTCAGCTAAAACACTATAATGATTGAAATAATCATCTGCATAACACAGTCA